CTGCAAAACGAGCCTTGTGAATACGTCTGTCTTCTGGGTTGTTGCGCCGTGTAGTCTGGTAGAAGTTTACAGACGTTTCAGAGTTCCTTGCTGCCTCCATCATCAAACTCACAGACGTGAAAACTCCAAATCCCACCTACGATCCTTATGGTTTCAAAGAAGTAATGGTCCCCTTCTCAGGACCGGATATCATATGACCATGGGCAATTTGTTTTCAAGCCCTGAAATATATGGCAAGCTGTGCAGCAGACAGAATGAAGCCTTGGGAGCATTACGCCAAAAGAGGAAGAGAGTGCCTGACGAAATTAGAAGACAAAACTAATAAAAAGGATAAATGTGTCGGTCTAAAATGATAAACTGGTTAAGTGGGAAGACAAAAAAGACATTTGTCTTATAGGTTTGCCATGGGCAGCCATAACCAGAAGGTTAAGGCTAATGAAGCGACCATCAACATACGAAATTTCTGAACATTACCTGATGACCATGCGCAGTTGTCCTTGCCCCCCACCCCTTTAACTGTTTCGTCCACTTTTTAGGAATGTGTTGCCCTGCAACTTGGAAGACCACTGCTGTACAGGCTTTTGCACCGCACACTTCGAGAAATCCGGGTTCAGTCTTTCTATTTAAAATTTCGTTTTGGCTCTGAGGCGTTTATCTCTGTGCGGTGGGTCCGCCCGTGTGAACGTCCGCTGCGGTAAGTTTTATTTACCTTATAAAACTGTGCGCGTGTTAACAGCGGACGTACAGTACAACGTTTCAGTACAAACTTTAGAAAATTTGATTTTGAAGTATCACAGAACTGAAGCCAGAACTTCAGGTAGGCCCTCGAAGATTGCCCAAATAGGAAACATGCGACTCATTTCAAGTAGAACTCATGACCGCGATGTGTTGTTTGCTATAAGATGAGTTAGCGTCGTAAGACGAGGTACAAGCTGGTTTTGTACGCAGCACCCCGTTTGAATAGTGAGATAGGAGAAGTGGTTAATATTTATAAAACACATTGTAAAGAAGATAATTAGAATTTTGAAATTGTACTATGACCTGAAACAAACTAATAATCATCGCCCATGTCAACACGAACTAGAAGCGATTTTACGAATCTGATACACTTTTAACCCTTTGAAGTCAAAGCTAATCTAAATTACATTTAAAAATTCAGTCCGTTCCGCAAAGAAAACACAACTCTTTACCATTACAAAGTTCAACTGGCTAATACTATTTAAAGAAATAATAGCTTTTTACAGTGAGAATCATACAAAACCCATAAATGCAGAATGAAGAGTTGTTGACTGTTGAAGTAACTGGGACATACAATTACCTTTGGGCTTTAAATGGTTTACTAGATCACAATAAGATTTATGTTCCATTAAGTTACTGCGTTGTAAACATCAGAGCGAAATATTGTCTGTTTTAATTTAATCTTCAGTACTGCTGTGTAATTACACATGAACATTCATAATACGCTAGAGTCTGTAACCGTTTTAATGTATTTGTTTTTTGGTCCTGTCTGACAAAGTTATCAGTAAAGACAAATCGAGCCCTATAAACTCCCAGATCTACTTCAAAGGTCAAGTAAATGTTATTATAATAATTATTAATATCATTTACTTAATACAGAGCTTCATAAATTGTACTCGTTATGAAATATTGTTAGGTTAAAGGAGTTGAGGTGGCAAACATCGCGACCGAGTGGTTCGAATGCATGCTTCGCATTTTGAGGTCCCTTTTTCAAGTCTCGACGGGAGACCAGCTATCATTACTGAGGTAAAACATGATAACTGTATTTGATTAATTATACTCAGTTAAATCAAAAGTCGGAAGGTAGCCCATAAAATATCTGCCAGCCAAGTTTTTAGCCCCAGAGCCGGGTTTGAGCGCCGAAATCTTTTTGAAACATGCAGTGTAACTCCATGATAGGACCATCTTGTTACTTGTACCATAACAAGTCAGCAGAAAAAGAAATGCTTGAAAATATCCGTGCCCCAATCGCGAATCAAATCCTCCATCCAAATGTTTGAGTGATGTATAGCTGGACGCTACTCAGAGAGCGCACCCAGTATAATCTGTGTGTCTCCTCATGTTTACTTAAATTACTTTCATCTGCCTTCAGTCTGCGTCTGCTGCGTTTAGAATAACAAGCTATCATTGTCCGAGAGGCAGTATCCATCTCTTGATGACAGGTGGAATTGTGTAAAACCACCCACCCTGCGAGCAGGAGCGTTTCCGAACAGAAACAAGTTATTGCCCACATATGACAACCCGAATTTTGATACATAAAGTGCTTGAGATCGCAGGTTCTCACGGTGGTGAGTATAAAAATGGCTTGTCTTCTTGGTTGTAGCGCCGTGTAGTTTCGTACAAATTTAACGACGTTTCGTCATCTAGATAATTGAACACGCTGTTCACCGCGTGTGGTTAAGAAGCCTAGGGAATGAACCGGAGTCCTCCAAGACTACGGCTTGCCCACAGGGTGTTTATTGACGATAAAACTCACATTTGCGTTCTACATGAAAGCTGGAGACCTGGAGTATTTGGTTATTTCTTTTTAAAGTTTGAAGAAATTGTTGAACCTGAACCAGAGTTGGTTAGATATACAGTGAAAATTTACTCAGGAACATGTCTGAGCCTAAGAATAAATTCCCGGCTGGACTGTGTGAGACGATACGGACGTACTGAACAGAATAATATCAGTGATGGTAGCCGGTACCATTCAAGAAATCTAAAAACAGTACCTCTGGAATAAGAATGTAATGTTTCCGCTAAACCAAACTTGTTGCTAACATCCAGCTTAATAACAAAACAGCGTACAAGATAATCACAAAATTGATTTTGTCATCTTCCTTGTGCCGCACAAAAGTTTATCTTTTGTTTGTAAATTAGTTATAAACTGAGGCTCTGATTTTTTATGTTTATATTCGAGCAATATTGTTGTGGTCACAAGGGGGTCAGGGAACAAACGATTTTTTAAATTTCCTTGTGAAACGTACCTATTGGCAGTTCTCGCTTGTTGACCATTCCTAAATATTTTCGACATAATAGTAATTATTTGTTGTAAATCTACCAATCACTGTCTATTCAACTAACACTTTGGAGCGAAGTCCTTGTTCAGAAGCTGACTGTACGCTCGGTTAGCCATGAATTTTCATTACCGTGTTCATATGAGGTCGTCACCAGTTCATATCGAAGGCCAGATGAATCCAGTTAACACTCTCCAATAAGATTTCTCTAAAATCCATTTTAATATTATCCTCCCACCTACGCTATGTCTCTCCCCTTATTAGGCTACGGTGTACATAGCCCACCCTCTCATCCTCCTTGATTTCACCATCCTAGTAATATTTGGCGAACAGTTCTTATATAAATTAAGGAGCTCTTCATTTCCAGTTTTCTCCACCCTCCTGTCACTTCATTCCTCTTAGCTCCACATATTCACTTAAGCACATTCAATCGGTGTTCTTCCCTTAAGATGAGGGACCAAGTTTTACACCTGCACAAGACAACAAGTAATATTATAGTTCTGTAGTTCTCCGATCGATATATTGTGTACTGAACAAGTTTGTGCTCATGATACACTTAGGTACACGTTGAGACGTATTCTTTTCTTTGGGACTTAAACTGGATGCCATAGTTGGGCTACCAGGCAGACATCGCGTACGCAGCTTTGACCACACCTCTCAGCTCATGCCAAGCGTACGAAACCAAAGCCAAGAAGGGGACAGAGCACATAACCCGAAATAGACTGACCAAAGGTCCATTCTAACAAGACTTGCGCTGGACAATACCTTCGTAATTTTATTTACAGAGGAGAAGTCCATGCGTTCAAGCATCATGCCATGAGAAGCATGGCGAAGTGAAGATAAAATTCCACGCATTTGTAATCTTGGTATTAGATGAAGTGTTTGGCTTCTCAAATCTGCCACTTCATCCCCGAAACTCATCGGATGGAAGGCTGGGTGTGTACTGCGGGCAGTTTGGACATTTTGGCAGTCACTGTTTCTATCACTGTCTGGAATCGATGTACGACCGTCCAGCTTACAGAAAGTCACTTTAGATCCTGTTGTACAAACCCATTGTTTAATTTATGTATTTTTGAATACTGGAAATGGCGTAGTTTCTTTCAGTAGAACATTCCGCGGAAAAGAAAGACATTTCCTCCCTTTAAACCTGTAACATTTTCATACTTCGTAGACTTTTCTATACTCGTGGAGCAGAAAAAAGTCGGGAAATGTTCGTTTTCCAATTTAGAATGCTTTATCTGTACAGTTTCTTCCAGAAAAGCCTACTGGTTGCTTTGTGTGGGTGTACATCTTTATTAATCTACTAAATTATAGATTATTTAATGTCGTTCTTTCAACTAAACATATCTTGTAGCTTCGAAAGAGATGCAAATCAAAAATAGTAAGTAGGTAAGTGTAAACCCACGATAAATATCAGGTTAACCGGCATTTCGATACAGATTTGAACTCACTTTACTGCCAAATACAGGTGTAAAAACGCTACAGCTACATCAACCTGTAACTAAGTCTCTCAAACTGGCGAAAGAACGGACTTCACGCTGGGACTTTCACGTCAATAAACTTGCCGGTCATCTACCATTAATACAACTGGGATTCACGTAGAAAAATGTTTAAAAACGTTAAATAAACTAAAATACCAAGAAAACAATGAATATATTTCACCACCAAAGTTCATTGTTTAAGCGATGAGCAACATCAAAATGCTTTTATCTAGAAACCTCATTCATAATTGCACACTCATTTTGTGATTGTATACTCATACGTACAAGCAACAGCTTGGAGTTTGCTCAGTGATTAGGGCAGTCTTAATCACGTGTAGCTGCATTACGTTCTTTGCTTATCACCTACCACCTCTTCACAGAAGGCATTCAAAGTGACTGCCACTTAACAGCCATGAGGGACCGGCGAATAAGATGATTTGTGCACAAGTTATGTGATGAGTCTAGTCTTTAACTACGGTAAGCAGAGCAATGTATTACTTACCCCTCTGACACCCATTTCCCGGTGAGTCGTGGCGGGTCCTCCACCACCGTGTCTCGATCCGCCCTACCAACTTCTTCCTCTAGACGTTCGCATTGTCCATCATTTGTATCTCCAGGAATGGAATTTATAACTGTGGGCTCCCCTCTGTTCACTAGCCCAGAAGAACAACCTGAAATCGGGAGAAGATATTTCGAATATCTGCTCCTAAAAGCATGAAACGCAAAGGGAATTGTCCGCTGCGTTTAACTCCGTCCTCGAATAACAACTGTGCATTTCATGATCTTTAGACAAGTGGGTAAAAATCATGGCCACCTTCCCAAACACTTTGCCCACCTACAGAACTGACAGGAAGACATTAAGCCTGTTAACGGTAAATATTTTAATTGATTCCTTCAGAATCAAATATTAGGCCTATGATTTAAGTATCAGAACACAGTGTTAAGTATTTTTCCACGAAAATGTTGTATGGATTTTAAAGTGGAATTTTAGAACCCATTCATTGGGGTCGATGATTTAAATAATTTAACGCTTGTATAATATTTACTCCATATGGATGAAATTTGGTTAATGATGACGAGAAGTAAACGTTCCAATAACCCAAATTAACAGAATTAACAACTACTCCTTCAGCACACTTATTTTTCTAGATGCTCCGACAACATCGCATTGTGTTCAAGATGATTTATTGTACTGAATTTCTCACAGATGCAGAAGCGTAGGTGGGCCACATTTATGACTGGCACCTTGTGTCGCGCGAAATTCCGCTAGACAAATCGCGGTGTGAATACAACAGTCATTGATTTCATCGCACTTAATTAATCCGCAATTGTATTAAAATTATTATTTCTGGAAGTTCTGCACATACGTAGACTACTAGGCCTGCTGCAGCTCTTAATATAAAACATTGGCGTGACACATTGGCAAAATAGGAAGGGACGGCAGGGTAGTTTTGACAGCCCAGTCTGCTTTTGGTTTCTTCCATACATCGTGAATGAAATGCAACATAAAACTAAGAAAACTGAACAGACTCCTGTGGCGAAGTCTTTAAACTAGTATATGTCTTCAATTGTTTCACAAGTTATTACGATAAACCAAAGAACTCGTATAAGGACATCAAACACCCCACACATGGACATATCGAGTGGTATTCAACCCGGGGTACGCAAAGACATTAGGGGATACGTGAAATTAAAAAAAATTATGATAGACACTGAATAGTCAGTAATGTACTTTATTTAATTTATTTTAGATGTAGATTATATACACCAACAACTTTGGGGGTACAAAGATGAAGAGAAATTATGTCTGGGGGTACGCGGACAAAAAAGGTTGAATACCACTGGACATATTGATACCACGTGCGTATCATTACTTACAAGTGGAGGCTTAAAAGTAGTGATATTATGGAACAGCCAGTGGTTTTGCGAGGGTTAAAAGGAAATGGATCGTCACGAAAATGTATTACTTATTCGTAAAATATTCTTCTGCGGCTGTGTTGTCACCCTTCACTAATGACCCTATAACCGCTTCTAATATATGTTGGCATATTTATAAAGCAACTTGACACATCGAGGGACTGGAAGGGTAGTGGGGGTTATTCCAAGAAACGGAATCTTGATTAGTGTTGTTGCTTCTTTAAAAAAGTTTTGGGTGTTCCGTGGTGGTCCATAATTTATTCTTCCCCTCTCCCTTGTTATGTGCCTGAATGTAAGAGTGGTGTATCTTATGTGCCCTCGCTCACATCTACCGACCTTTTGTACTCGGCGATGGGAGGCAAAGTCTTTTGATTTTCTTTGATTTCTTTTAATGTGAAAAAAATGTTGCTTGCTTGTTTGCTTGTCTTGAGATTCTATGAATATGAGACAACATGAAATTTCTAATAATTGACTTTTACCCCACTCCAAAATTACTACTGCTGAGTACAAGTTTGTTATTTGTTTTATACGAATTATCTACACTGTAAGTACTGTTATATATACTCATTTAGTGTCGAATGAGATTATTATACTAAATGGGGTGGGACATTGTACAAAGCAGTCGTAACCTATTTTAAGGTACAGTACCTTCATGTGCCTAGATATTGAGGAAACCATGAAAAATTCTATGACTGTAGCCGATCTGTCGAAGAACTGCGAAATACGGAAAGCTAAAGGCTTCAAGGCAGTGTTCTTTATAAATACAGGTAAAGGTGATCCAAACGTTTACTGTCTACAGACGTGAAGGTGAATATTGAAGATGTCTGGCTTCTGGATTGTTGTACCGTGTAGTCTGGTAGAGGTCAGACTCGCCACGTGAAAACCTCAAATCCTGCAAGGTGGATATTCTGACCTGAACATCATCTGGGTAGTTAACATTAGCCCATCCATCA